TCAGCCAGTGAGCGGGAACCGGTCTGTATGTGGGATCCGAACCCTCGGCGGGAGCGCCGCCGCGCTCCCAAGCAGCGTACTGTAGCAGTGCGCCACCGGGCCGGCCCTCTTGTCTCCTTTTAGAAAGAAGATCTGAGCTCAGTCATTTTGGACTCAGCATTCCCACACTTTCTCCTTTTTACTTCGGGCAACACTTCTCCTAGTGATTCCTTTATTCTTTTAGCAGCTGGCTGGTATGGGGATCGAAACTCTTGACCCTGGTGTTATAACACTGAGCTCCAGCCAACTGAGCTAACTGGCCAGCCCCTCAGTATTTCTTTTAGTGCATCTTTTTGTATTGAAAATAGATGCTTTATTTTGTTTATACAAGGCACAATTTCAAAATACAAATCATATATAAAAGGTAGATATATTAGACAAAAAGTATAAATATAAATGCCTATGACTATACACATAAAATGTCACTGAGTTCCACTTTCTTCTTTCTGAATCCTTCAATTGAGAGGATTCATTGGGCTCAGCATCTCTTCTGCCTTTCTCGGCTCCCTTGTCTGTGTAAATTGCAAGTCAGGATGAGGGATGGAAATGACAGTCAAGCCGACAAGCTGTCCTGAATAACGTCATAGTGAAACAGGAGCAAAAACCCTGATTGCAGCCTCTAGCCTCTCCTGGGAGAGCTTTGGCTGCTTGGACTTTGGGTAGCGGCCCTGGATGTGAGCACGGCAGCATCCATCGGATGTTGGAGAATCCACTCGCTCCTACAGAGCCAGCACAGTGTCCAGGCCAGCACAGCCAGCAAGATCACACCAGGGACATCTGATCATCCTGGTGGGCTTTCTCCTGGCACTCAACTCCTCCCATCTTTTCTAGATTCTCGTTAGCTGAAGCAGAGCTAGCTCCTTTGCTCCACATGTGACTGGGCTGGTTTCCCCTGAGTTTCAGAGGTTGTGTGAGCAGTTCTCGGTGTCATCCTGTCCGTTGCTGGTCCTCCCAGTCATTGGCACAACTTCCATGTTTTCCATTTCAACACTGGGCAGCTGGAAAGTTTGCCTGCAAAGCAAATGATTGGCAGGTGTTGAAAAGAGGAGAGGCTGCCCTCAGATCAACAGACACTTCCAATTGAACATGCATGCCCAGCACTGTGTGGAGTACATTAGCAGACACAGGCCCTGCCCCCAAGAATCATAAAACACACAGTCCTCAATTATCTCTGTTGCTTAGAGATTAAGAAAACCTAGAATGCCTACATTTACAGATAGCATTTAAATCCTGTTTTGATCTGTTCAGCCTCCCCATCCACCAAAGGTTTACTGATGCTGTGGGGGCAATCCCCATCCTCACCCTGCTTTGCCAATCCTCTGCTAAAAAGATGCTCAAGTGGCAGGAACCAGAAAGGAAAGACTAACCAGGGGCATGGCCAAACCCGAATTGATCATCTTGATAAAAATGATTTAATATTCATGAAGCTTTTAAAGCAGTTCTTAGCAGTTCGTAAGTGTTCAATAAGTAAACAAATACACATATTAACCAGCTCCTGAATAATAAGAGTGGGGAGGCAGGACATTTTGATTACGTGTCTGCTTACCCCCTCCAGAGCCGAGTGTCCGGCTCAGCACCTTCTCCCGTGGCTAATAGAATCTCCCTCCTGAGAAGCAACTTTTGGGGCCATTTTAAGGTAAGCAGTTTGAGCTCCTTGGAGTGAGAGCTGAACTATAAATCAGGATTGTGGGTCAATTCACTGAAAATAATTTGCTAAAAGCCTGTGTGTTGAATGGCAAGTCAACCTAATAACTAATTTGCAAAAAAAACAGTTTATGGAAAGAATCGAGTGACCAATTAATCACACAACAAATTTTTAATTCTTCTTAAAGATATATTTATGAATATTGTTAATATAGTCAGCAGATATTGATATTTTCCTCTTATAAACATATTTTTTGGCTGTTTATACCACATTTATAAATTATTTTTAAGAATATATTTTAATGTATTATTCATAAAAAAGATGGTGTACATTCTTTTTGAATACATTCAATGAACAAATTTAGTCATTATAATCTCAAGAGTATAACTCCAAATCCAGCATTTTATGTAGAAATTATTCAGTTATAACAATATTTTGAAAATTCTTTTAAAAGTCATTTTCTGTTTTGTCAACATTTAGCATTTTTTCGATTATTTGGACAAATTTTTGAGTAATATATTAACCTTAGTTTAATTTTTCAACTATTTATGAGGTTTATGGCATTTTTTATTGGTTGGTCTGGTATTGACTGCTTTTGAAGATTTATATAAAGTTTTAGATGACTGGTTTTCATTTTGGCTTTATAGTAGCATTTCACAGAATTTTCATTTTGTCAAAATTAGGCTCAAAGGACCACAATTTTTCTATCAATGTAATACTTAATATTTCATAACTAGTAACTGAGAGTTTAGTTTCAACAAATCTGAAATCCACTCACTGGGTAATACTGAGGAAGGATGCAGAGGAACCATATCAACGTGGAATGCTAAAATAATGTTACTAGTTGGTGAAGTACGAAATTAAAGCTAATATGCCATTCGAGGCTTTAATGAAAGATTCATAAAAATGACTAAAGATTAGAAAATGAAAAAATAGAAACTGAAGTGTCAGCAAGTGACAGACACTTGTCACAAATGTCAAAATGCAGAATTTCAATTATTAGGAATGCAAAATTAGGAATGCAAATTAGGAATGCAAAATTAAGGCTGACCTCAATGTGTGTATTTATAGGAAAGTGTATCCACATTTAATGAATACATTGGAGAAGAATATATTCATGAATCTATCATAAGAAGAAGTGATGCGAATTGCATAGTCATCAAGTTGTGCACGTGGCACATTCCTTCTCTGGACTGGCTCTGGTAGGTTGGCCTCTGCGTCCTCAGTCGGCTCATGGTCTGAGAACTGAGGTGGGAAGTTGGAGGCTCTCTAGGCCTGGCTCAGGACTGCACAGCTCTAATGTACCTTTTGGCTGATAGGGAAGAGGGTGAGCATGAGAGTTGATGGCCAGGAAAGGATTCTTCCTTGCAAGGGCATCCCAGGGTTGTTGTGATATAGCTCTTTCCTTGTGGGAAGGAGGCACCCGGTCCAGGCTGCCTTTCCCATGCCACTCACCTTGTCCTGGTGTAACATGCCAGGAAAGACGCAGCACACACTGCACAGAGCAGGACGGACGCGGAGATGACCACTGAAAAAAAGCAGAACTCAGCTGGGACCGTGCAGCGATGTCCAGAACAGAGTTCTTTACAAATTACATGCTTGCACAGGGATCCAAGCGCCTGCCCAGCCACCATGCCGCTATGCACATTTCGTGAGGGCTGTGCAATTTGCTGTTCCACTTCTGGGAACAAACATCCCCTTTCCTGCTGACACTGCCAGTTCAAACTGTCTCCCCATGTTATCCCCCAGCTCTGCTCCTGATCCTTGTCCTTCGCAGGGAAAGTGAGCTGGGTGACAGAGAGGGGGAGGGAGTGAGTTAGGAAGGGAAAGTAAGTGCCTCGAGATCTAAGCTGGGGTGATGGGACAGGAGGACGGGGGAGGGAGCCAGTGCCACCGGAGCAGGCATTCCTGTGCTAGATCCCAAGGTGAGACAACAAACCTCCTTGCTGTCCTCTGGCATAACTCCCCCTTCCCTTCAACTCCACAGATTTAGAAACAGCATGCAGGGTCATTTTCCTCCCAGTTTCAACATCATTATTTTTTATTTGCAACTTTATGGAGGAGGAAAAGTAGAAAAGAGAAAGAAAAGGTAATCCAAGAGAGGCATCGTACATTAAGAGGAGAATAAGGTGATGGCTTAGGAAAGGGGGAGCATTTGACTGGGTTGAAATGAATGGCATGGAGCGTGGAGGCACCTGTGGTGTCTGGCCAGCAGCCTTGATGTCACCTGAGACATATCAGATGGGGTGGGAAGAAGGGGTCTTCATGGGGAAGCAAGGAGGCTCAGCCTGAGGGCGGGGGAACAGAACTAATAAAAACACTTGCAGATTTGGTCAGTTCCCCTCACTATCATGAAATCTCCCTGTGAAAATCACCCAGCTGCCCTATGTGCAAGGTGACAGCGGTGGGCATGTAGGGAAGCAGCAGCCTCGCTGAGATCCAACCACATCGGAGCTTTAAGGGGCTTCACCTGGATGACACCAGTGCACACCATGTGTACCAGGATGAGTCAGTCTCCAGGGCTCGGCATTCAAGTACAGCTCTACTGAAAAGCTGCTGAATCCAAGGATGTGGGGAACACTCAGACCTCTGGGGCTAGGACTGTAAATTGGTACAGTTTTTCTCAAGGGCAGTTTGCAACATATGACAAAAGCCTGAGTGAAGCCCATACCCTTTACTCTCTGATTCTTCTAGGAATTTATGCTAAGGGAATAGAGAAATATATACAGGGGTATCCACTCAAGTATTGCTTAAAATAATTTTCAAGATGTTAATCTAAATCTCTTATCCGTAGAAAATTAGTCATAATGTGGCACACCTATACAATGGAATAGTATTCAACTATTAAAAAAAATGAAATGGACCTACATTTATTAATTGGAAAGATGTCCACAATATCTTGAGTGAAACAGGCTGGTTAAGATAAAAAACTGAAAATAATCAACAAGCCACATGTGTCCACATATACAGAGAAGTCTTGAGGAATATATGACTAAGTGTTAAGTCATGGTGGGATTATAGATAATCTTTAATTTATTTTTTGAAATGTCGGTTTTTTAATCATATTTTTGCAAGGATACTGTAATCAGAAGAAACAGTAAAGTTATAGAAATAAAACAACTCTTAATAAAAAGCTTAGAAAAGTTGCTACAAAAGAGGTAACAGAAAACATGAGAAATTGGTACAAAATGTTTTAAGTTTTCAGACTTAACATTCATCAACATTATGACTTTAAAAAAAATTGTTTTAGTAGAGATGTTGAACTCTATGGTAAACTACGTCTTCACATTAGCTAATAAGCCTGGCATGCATTTACTGTTTCTGGAGTGATTTATTGGAAAAGGCAAGTTGATGTACACTGTAGTTCTACTTTCACAATGATTCTTCCTGTTTCTTTTAAAAGGAAAATTAAGGACGGCAGAATCAAACTCAAGAGAGAAGAGGGCTCCTGGGCCCATAATAACACAAAGCAATTTGAATTCAGTGACTTAACCCAGACCCTTAGTCTCTTCCTCAATTATATCCAGACAATTTGGTCAATAAATTGAAACCAGAATTACTGAGACAATGAATTAACAGATGACCTGCCAAGTTCTCCAGCCGTCTGTATTTCCTGGAGGGTGTGGACTGCTGGAGGAGAAAGAGATTCAGTGCAATAGAAGAGAGGAGGGGAGGAAGGGGGAGAGGAGAAAAGGGGATTATCGTACAGCAGCCAGAAAGGCCAACAGCGCCCACCTGGACCTCAGCCCACTGTGCAGACTGGGCAGGACGGGAAGGCGGCTGAGATGGCTAGTGGCCAGTATTTGGCATGGATGATGAAAAGGTCTGTGAATACACAGTCATTCCTCAGCAACACCTTGACAAAGCAAGCTGTCACGGCATAGCAGCACGAGGTCACTGTGACCAGATCACCTGTGTGCCGCGTTAGCTGACGGCAGTTTTGAAGGAGGAACATCAGTCCATCACTCCCAGGCAGTGGTCATTTTCTCTTACTTCACTAAGCACCTAAGTGCTGCGTTCAGAGGAGAAACTCAATGAATACTTAACTGATCGAATTAGACCTTTGCAATTCCATAAATAGAAGTAAGTTGAAAGTGACGTTTGCTTTTTAATGAGGAATCTGCATTTTGTAGCAGCTTCAGACCATACCTGGCACAGAACAGGAACTTGCCTTATACTGAATGAATGACCAGTGCACACCCTGTGTACCAGTGTGATATGGTATAGAGGCAGCTCCTGTCAAAGGCTGACCATATCAACTACAGCAGATTTATTTCAGATATGGAAAACTAGAGGCATAATAACATTCTGAAAAGCAAACTCTTGTGATATGGTATAGAGGCAGCTCCTGTCAAAGGCTGACCATATCAACTGCAGCAGATTTATTTCAGATATGGAAAACTAGAGGCATAATAACATTCTGAAAAGCAAACTCTTCATTCCTAGTCTACTGAATGAAGATGGCAGTGTAAACACGGTTGCAGGGGCATGCTATCCTTTGATTTTACAAACAGGAGTCTTCAAGAACAGCTTCGTCAAGGATCAGAGACTGGATATTGGAATAATTGAATAAAGTAATTGATAACAAGGGCTGCCAAGTGAGCCAGTAGATATTTAAGATGATGAAATTGGGAACCACATTTCTTAAATATTTATTATAATGGTAAAGCCCCCAAATTCATTAACTCATTTGCTCACTCATTCAATATTTCTTACTATTTACCTTTTTCTGTTGAACTGAAAAGAGCAACTTTTAAAAGTAGTGATAATCATTTATATCATTTATTTGAAAAAAAAATTGTAATATTGGTAGCATCAAGGCGTTGATTAAAACATCAGTTAATTTACCGAGCAACCACTACGGTAAAGCATCAATATTAGGACAATGAACTCAACAGATTGCTTATTCGTGCAGAAATAGCATTCCCCCCCCCACATCAAGGAGCCAGCGAGCCTCTCCACTACATGTCACAGGACACGTACTCTTGGGTCTCAGGGTGGCAGGGTTGGGATTGGCATACTTTGAAGGCACTGTCACTAAGTGCTTTTAGAAAACTAGCATGATTTTAACTTAATGGTTTTAACTAGCATGATTTCATCTTATCAGCAGACAAAACTTAACACAATGAAATAAATATTGTTTTCATCTCTTTGCTGAAAACTGAATGGTTCTATAGTTAGTTGTTCACATGTCTATCTTTATGTTTAAGCAGCCTGAAGGAAGGAAATCTTATTCAGACAACATAAAATATTTAAGGTTTTTTTTAATCTCTGTATTTCCACAGTCCCTGGTGCAGAGCTATCTTTGTCCATTATAGGCATTCAGTTAATGTTTATTACATTATATTTCAGAATTGGGAGAGAGGTTTTGATATTTTAATCCAGTGAAAGTCATGAACTGGAAAAAGTAATTATAGATTATAGCCCATAATCAAATAGTTGTTTGAAAATCTATGTAGGAAAATGGCCCCAAGGGCTGGCCCGTGGCTCACTTGGGAGAGTGTGGTGCTGATAACACCAAGGCCACGGGTTCGGATCCTACATAGGGATGGCCGGTTAGCTCACTTGGGAGAGCATGATGCTGACAACACCAAAATCAAGGGTTAAGATCCCCTTACCGGTCATCTTTAAAAAAAGAAAAGAAAAATGGCCCCAAAATTTTACATGTAGGACTTTATCTTATAAATTTACTTGCAAATGTGAGTTTTCAATTACTCGCTGTTTGCAATATAACCAAAAAATGTAAGGAAAAACATGTCTGAATAGGGAGTTGGCTAAGTAAATTGTGGCAAATCCGTACAATGGATATTTTGCAGCTGTTAAAAAGAACAAGGTGATTTTTATGCATGATGTGGAAGGATCTGCGAGGTATGCCATTATATGAAGATAAGCAAAGTGTACAACAGTAAGAATAAAACAACTGTCCAGAGTCGGTCACCCTCCCCGTGCTGGTTGTGTATTGCCCCTGGAGGGATGCACGGGAATCTGGGAGCAGCAGTTGCTTCCTTCCTGCAAGGAGATTTTGAGTCAGAGATGGGATGGGACTTACTTTTTACTGTATATCCTTTTGTAACTTTTGGGTTTTAGACCATATGCAAATATTACCAATGCAAAAAAATAAATTAAAAAAGTAAAACTATGTAGGAAGATGAATGTAGTCTGTGACATAGGAAGAAAAATGAGCTTGGCTGCTTTATTTACTGCTCTCTTCTTAAATCATGAACATATGTTTGTTTCTGTGTCCTTATTAAATACCACGGTTTTTCCATAAAAATACTCTCCAGAGAGCCTTTCTAAAATATCTTGCCTCTGCATATATGTTTCCTTCATTTTTTAAGCCATTCTAATCAACTGCTAAAATGTCCAAAGCTGCTTGTTTTTTTCCAGATGACACACTTGCTGCAGGTAAAATGAGGAATATGCTAATTACCCTGATGGGATCATCACACGTTGTACACATGTATTGAACTGTACCTCTGTATCCTTCCATAACCAAANACTGAATGAAGATGGCAGTGTAAACACGGTTGCAGGGGCATGCTATCCTTTGATTTTACAATCAGGAGTCTTCAAGAACAGCTTCATCAAGGATCAGAGACCGGATATTGGAATAATTGAATAAAGTAATTGATAACAAGGGCTGCCAAGTGAGCCAGTAGATATTTAAGATGATGAAATTGGGAACCACATTTCTTAAATATTTATTATAATGGTAAAGCCCCCAAATTCATTAACTCATTTGCTCACTCATTCAATATTTCTTACTATTTACCTTTTTCTGTTGAACTGAAAAGAGCAACTTTTAAAAGTAGTGATAATCATTTATATCATTTATTTGAAAAAAAAAATTGTAATATTGGTAGCATCAAGGCGTTGATTAAAACATCAGTTAATTTACCGAGCAACCACTATGGTAAAGCATCAATATTAGGACAATGAACTCAACAGATTGCTTATTCGTGCAGAAATAGCATTACCCCCACCACATCAAGGAGCCAGCGAGCCTCTCCACTACATGTCACAGGACACGTACTCTTGGGTCTCAGGGTGGCAGGGTTGGGATTGGCATACTTTGAAGGCACTGTCACTAAGTGCTTTTAGAAAACTAGCATGATTTTAACTTAATAGTTTTAACTAGCATGATTTCATCTTATCAGCAGACAAAACTTAACACAATGAAATAAATATNGGGATCATCACACGTTGTACACATGTATTGAACTGTACCTCTGTATCCTTCCATAACCAAACAAACAAAATGGGACCACAAAAAATAGGAGCCATTGTCTAGCAGGAAAACTTATGAATAGAAAATAGAAATAATGTTTGCCCATATCAAATAGTGATCGGGTTTTTGTTTCTTCTAGAGCTTGTCAGACTAATGTGTTCGATGACTCCTTGCTGCTGGCCGCTTCCCTCCTTTCTCTCGTGCTCTCCTGTCTTCTCCAAGATCCCCCCTTTTTCTTCCACTCTTGCAAACCCGCCTCCATCTCCCTCCCTAAGCTCACTCGCACATTCTCGTTCTTGTCTTTCCTCTCCTAGCCTGAGCGTTGTGTGTCTTCTGTAAGAAGAAGCTTTACACTGAGACACATGCACAGTCACTCTGCAGAGTGCGCAGTGCCACACCCCGGGGGGATTAGAACTGCTTCCGGCAGAGGAGTGGCGTTGTCTCAGTGGTGGCAGCAGGCACTGGTTTCCTGACGTGCCCTGAACAAGAGTCTGGCACACATGGTAGGACTGTGACGAGCTGGACCATGAGGCCCTTCCTAGTGTGTGTCTGCTCTCTGGTTTCCACGTCAGTAGTCTGACTCTTAGCAGCTACTGGTATTAAGATGAACAGGTCAAACAAAGCATTCTATAAGTAGGGTATTAATGACATTTTCTGATGGGACACTTCTGAGGGTGAAAAGGGATGTTGTTGGTGGTCATGGGGGCTGTGGGCCTGGACCAGGACTGTTTGACACACCGGGGCTGCAGTCTCCCTGATCACAAACACATTGGGCAAGGGGAAAACTCACCAGTGGCCTCCCTGGAGCCGAATGGAGAAGCACCTGTGGAGGAGAGAGGGCAGCTCAGTCACGGCTGGAGTGTCAAGGATGCCAGCTTTTCAAGAAGAAGGGAGAACCTGGACAATGTGGCTCCCACCTTAGAACTGTGGGAAGAGTCACAGCTGGCACACAGAACTCATTTTAGCAAAGCACACGCTGGAGACTCCTGGGGAAGCTGGGCCACACTCAAGAGTTGGACATGACTTAGGGAGGCCTTAGAGATGGCTTCTCCCTCCCACAGGGCCTCCAGGCCGCGGAAGGCAGCAGCCTGCTAAGCCAGTCCCCTTTGGATGGAACAACATGAAGCTATACAGTCATCTTGCCCCGGATCTCAGCCCAGATCTCAGCAGCAGCACGTGGGGCACTGGCCCTCCTAGGGCCAGGTTGGCGCTCACCTGGTGTCTCAGAGGAGGCAGAGGGTGTGAGTCCCAAGGTCTCTGCTGTTGTCTGAGGTGGGCCTTTGGAGGACTCACGGCCACCTATCTGAGTAGTCCCTGAGGAAGGTGGTTCTGATGGCATCAGCTGGGAGCCTGGTGCAGCAGCTGTCTCTGTGGTCACTGTGATGTCTGACCTGGGAGATGCAGCTGCTGGCTCTGTAGGAAATTCCAAGACAGGGTGAACATAAATATTTAGATAGTCTCTTCTCAGCTCCAGTAGAGGGTAGACCTAAGCACCTAGTCCAGTGAGTCAGCCCTGGCCAGCCCTCCCCAGCAAAATGTTCCCTTAAGTGAGTGATATTCCAATCCATCTGGAACAGCTATGGGACTTGTGAGAACTCCAGAGAATACAGCTATTTAACATGGTGCATATAAAGAAAAGATCCCAAAGATTCAGGCTTGTGTACTAGAAAAGGCATGTTAAACACTGAGAGGCTTGCCTCAAAAACACAAGTGGAGCTGTATTTGCCAAAGACAGCAGGGATGCTGACTTTATTTTTTACATGTTGGTATGACATTTGTTCTCACTATGGGACTTGTGAGAACTCCAGAGAATACAGCTATTTAACATGGTGCATATAAAGAAAAGATCCCAAAGATTCAGGCTTGTGTACTAGAAAAGGCATGTTAAACACTGAGAGGCTTGCCTCAAAAACACAAGTGGAGCTGTAGCCAAAGACAGCAGGGATGCTGACTTTATTTTTTACACGTTGGTATGACATTTGTGAAATAAGGAGAAGCCTGAGATTCGGCCCGCCTGAACTTTACAGGGTGTATTTGAGGAAAGTGTCCTGATTCAGCTTCAGTCTCAAGAAGGGGGGCTGCCATGCATTTAGGTCCCTGTCTTCCTTTTCCCTCCATGGCAGATGGCTGCCCCTAAACTATAAGGGGTGGCATAACTGTCCACCAGTCCCTTTCCATGAAAAATGGGTCCTTCTTTGACCAGTGCAGAACTTAGGCAACACAGCCAGGGAGGAAAGATCCTTGTGGGGCCGTGGCTCTCCGGACACACTGTGACCAGCATTCCCACACTCTCCCAGCCACATATCGCAAGAAGTCCTTTTACCCTTTAATTCTCTTTCATCAGCTCACACACACCCTCCCCATGCTGCCAGCACTCCAGGGTACCCTGCAGACAGAGCCCCCCAGAGCTTCCACACCCAAGTGCCTTGGTCGTGCCAGCCCATGTCCGAGGTTACTTTCTCACATCCGAGGTGCTCATGGCACAGTTTTGTCTCAGCAATAGACATCTGACCAAGCGGTTGAGACACAAAGGCAGGGCTAGGAGAGGCTACTTGATCATTTTCATCTCTTGGGTGAACCAGGTGTGACTCAGATCACAGAGGTTTTGGAATGACCCCGGACTTCAGTGGAGACAGTATCTCAACCCCTTTCTCCGTCTGTATGCCAGCCACTCACTCCCTGGGAAGAAACCTCTTCCCAGCCTCTCCATCCTCCCTCAAGCCTTGGCTGCCTAAGAACCTGGGGGGTTTGAAAGCCCCCAATTCCCAGCTTGTTCCCCAGGCCGAGCCAGAGCTTAGGGAAGGCATGACTGAGCCATGCAGGCTGACTGGAGCAGAGATGCTGTGCTGAGAGAAAGTAGGAGAAGGGGCCAGGGAGAGCCACCAACTGGGTGATGTGAAACCAAGAGTTTCATGTAAAATAAGGGAGTCATAGGATGCAGGGCATGTTACTCCAAGATACTTAGCATCCAAGATTACCAGTTCTCCTAACATCTAGAAAGTGCTGAAGAAACTGGGCTAGAAAATTACCTAAGACTCAGTTGAACTACGGAGCACCGGGAGTTTCATGCAGCGCCTCCACAGTAGAGCAATTGTCTTTAACGTGCTGATGTTTAGGGCTGGAGGGAGATACCTCTCCAGGGGTCTCCACATTTCTGCACATCCTGCTAACAGAGGGCCTAATGGCCTTTTCTCTGGACTATGTTCTCAAGGATGTTTACGTAGCATACGCCTCGAAGGCAGAGACCATGCCTCTCTCTGGGACAAACAGTGGACATGTTTCCTGCCAATTATAAAACATTCAGGTTCCCTGAGCCCAGGCTTCCCCTTTATAATGCAGCTGCTGAGCATACAGGCATCTACTCAGGGCCATCTGCATTGCCTGTGGGACTGGGGGACAAGGGAATTCATGCCACATGCTGATGCTCCAGCTGCTTGCTGTGCCCTGGATGACCGTCCTTTGTCCTCTACCAGGGAGTGTTGTGTTTTCTGCCAGCACCCATGAAATTGTGGCTGACTAATGTGCAGGTAAAGCCAAACCTCAGACTGCTTCCAGTTCTCGACAAGGATATGAGTCTACTAAATATGATCTTACACATTAATTGTGAATTTTAAACCATTATTTTATTTATTTTATTTTTTGTGACTGGCCGCCCTGCGCTCAGCCAGTGAGCGCACCAGCTATCCCTATATAGGATCCGAACCTGCAGTGGGAGTGCTGCTGTGCTCCCAGCGCCGCACTCTCCCAAGTGCGCCACGGGGTCGGCCCTTAAACCATTATTAATTGTGCGTATAGGACACCTGGATATCAAGCAATTTTGATTTAAAAAAATTAAGGCCCTATAAGTTCTTATTTGTGGCTTTAATAAAAAATGTGTTCAATGCCTATATTTGCAGTGAACACCAGCAGTGGTCCATGAATCTGTGGGATTTGGAGGGCCTGAGTGGTCGTAGGGAATGGGAATCCTCAAAAAATTTCTGACATTCCTACCTTTTCCAGAAGGGGAGAGGCTCTCTGGCTGTGGGGTCACCCCTGCCGTCTCTACTGTGGAGGGTGGCACTGGCCTTTGGCGAGTCAGGGAGGGGTCTCCTAGAGAGAGGATAACCACATGGCATTTACAATCCTGGGAGTGGACCCTGGGGCAGCTTCAGAACAGATGTGTGTGTGTGTGTGTGTGTGTGTGTGTGTGTGTGTGTGTGTGTGTGTGTATAAATCAATACATAAATTTACAATGGAGCTATCTGGCTTCCTAGGACAGGTTAGAGGCACAGGAAATAAACAACAATCCACGTTTCTCAACCCGAATGCAAAGATAGATTGCAAACTATTTCTCTAGCATTTCCAAAAAGACTTCACAGGCTAAGCATCAAATTTCTTTTCTTTTTGGCTGGAACAATATTAATATCAACTCGGTTTTATAATACTGATTTTTCATGGGGAAATAAATGATCTCTCAGTAGATTCTATTTGTTTGGCAGAAAAAATCATTCAAAGCACAAGAGGTTGGGAAAGTCAACGAAGGTAGTTAGTAGTAAAACAGTGGGGGAGGGGTGTGGACTAGACAAAAACCTAAAGATTCAACCAGTCTTTGGATTATAAAACTCTGATTCCATGTTCTCTCCTTTCCTCCCCCATCCCAGCCCGGGTCTCCAACTGGGATTTATTCACGCAAAGGATGTGGAGCTTTGAGGGAACATCTTTCCCCACAGTGGAAAAGCCCTTGTTTTTGCCCCTAGATTACAAGTTCCAGAGCGTCCAGGACAGGGTTGAGTACGACATCCACTCCTGCCTCCCACGGTTACCGCTGGCCTGGCCTTGCCCTGAGTGCCCTGCCGCTGTGTCCCCTGCTGCGTGCTTCCTCGGAGCAAGTGGAAAAGCTTCCTCCTCACCTTCCCTCTGAGGTCTGCGTGACTCTCATGCTGGGCAGGAGCAGGGAGAAGAGCTACCTAATCCTGCAAATCCAGTGGGAAAGTCTCTCTCCAAGAAGCCTCCAGCAGAGTAAGTTCGTACAGGACAGAGCTGGGAACTTTCACAGATGTCACGAGAGAAAGTACCCAGCTCGCTGCCAGACGTGAGCTGAGTACACAGTAAATGTTTGTTAAACAGGGAGTCTCTTGGAAGACCATGGTTAGTCTTTATTTCTCTAGAGGGAGGTAAAGAGGAACAGAAGTGGGCTTCATATTCCTGGAAATAGCACTCGGTGGCTTCCCTCCCCCATCCCCCCAACAGGGTTTGGTGTCTTCTAGGGTGTTACCCAGTTGTGAATGATTAAAAAACAAAGTCGATCCTTGTGACCCTCACTCATCCCTCTCTTGAGCATTGACTGGACACTGTACATGGGCGAATAAGCAAAGGGCAACTGCTCTGTGGGTCTACCCTGGTCTCTGCGTTGGGCACCAATAAACAAGAACAGCTGTTTTTTCCCTGCAGCCTGCCTCCTCCCGAGAAATCCAAAAAGCCATCTGGGAAGCAGGTATGCTCCTGAACATGCACCCTTTCCATAGCAAGTTCTATAGCTACTATAATCTCCAAACAAAGCACTGATGTTAGCAGGAGTTCATTATTACAAGGCTTCACTTAATCCTCCTACTACCCACAGTGGTGACCTTAGGTCCATTTTCTAACTGACGAACCAGAGTTCCCAGACGTCAAGGACCTTGCTTAAGGCCTCGCAGATGGCAGGTGGCAGAGCCAGGGTCTGTTTGTCTAGTTCCTGTGTATTGCCAACTCCAGCAGGTGGTGTTCAGTGTCCCACTGGCCTCAGACTCAACACAGGTCTCTTGGCTCCCAAGATGGGCTCATCTAGCTCGTTGGCAAGGAGTGGAGGGCGGTGCAGGGACAGGCTACTTACTGATGCACTTGAGATTGGGAGCTGTCCAGTGGGCAGCATTCGTGGTCTTGTTATGCACACACTCGATCAGGCTGGACGTGCCGGCTTTACGCTTGAAACCAGAGCTGCAGACGTACCGCTCCCTGGAGTGCAAAGTGTAGCTCCTGACATGGATGTCAGCATGTTCAACAGACGTCGGGGTGGGGCATGTAACACCTGCAAAATGCAGAGATGAAAGGACTTCAACCGGTTAACACGTGGGCAGCAGTCAGTAACTTCACAGCCGGGGACTGGCTTTACTATGGGCCTCTTAGGATAAAACCCACAGTCTGAGCATGAGGAAGATGTTCAGGAAGTACACCCACGGCCTAGAAACCCTCCAGGAGCCTTGCCTTAAATGCCAGACATCCAGCAGAGCTAGAGACTGGGGGGGGTGGGGGGTGGGTCACAAATAAGACCCCTCTCTTGCCCTCCACATCCATCTCCAGCCTTCACTATCTCTTCACTCTAGACCCAGCTGAGCAACAGCAACCACCTCCACGTTTGCTCCCTGCACGTGCTCCCTGCAAGGCTTTGATCCCCATCTGCACAAGGCAGCCAGCATAATCTTTAGACATGCACATTTGGTAGCTTCCCTCTTCCCTGGCTGCCTGCCAATCTTAGAATGAAAACTGAAATCTTAGGAAGTCTTCAAGGCTCTGCTGGGCCTGGCTCTGCCGGCCTGGCTGGCTCTCTTTCCCCGGCCGCTCACCGTGCCTCCCCACACTCTCCCTAGCTCCTTCCATCCTCCCTAGCAAGGTGCATGGTCCCCGATGGCTCTACATTTGTGACAGGTGGAATTGGACTCAGATAATTCCACAACTTCACCTAAAAATCTGGCAATGATGTGCTAGCTCCGTGCCTAAGAAGAAAAGGAGGGACTGAAATGTTGGCCATTTAAATTGTGGGGATACCATCTTTGTTAATGACTTTTGTCGTTATTACTTAACAACTGTTGATGTTTCTGCATCCTTGGAAAAATTCCTTTCCTAGATAAAAGCACATATACTATGTGCTTTTATAGTATATGTGCTTTTATGTACTGTGCAATATAATGTTATAGTATTATAATATTATAATATTGTATAGGATAGTATAACATTATATTGTTTAATGATATAACATTATGTATATATAATAGTATAACATAACATCGTATGTTTAATGAGCTGTAGGAGTACTTTGGGCTTTTTTCTACATTATATAACCACTACAATAATAAAACTTGCAAAAAGGAAAAGTTGACTTTTTTCTCACTAGGCAAAAATGAATGGGATCAGTACTACTTATCAAGTACCTAATGTAAAATGCTCTGGATCACAGGAAAGAATCTATTCAAGGCCATGATAACAATTTTGTAGACTGCGGTTCTACAAAGAAACCCCCAAAGGATCCTTAAAAAGCGAGGGGGCAGCCAGTGCCTTCCCGTGCCACGTTTCCTCCAAACCAGTGCTGCTGGCCTGTCCTCGTTTAAGATGAGGTCCTGTCCCATGCCGGGAAGATTGTAGCTAATGTTAAAAAGCAAGACTTTTCTTTAGGCACTTGAAGTAACTGTGATTTTTTAATACTATTTTTCCTACGAACTCAATACCTCACTAGGTTTTCTGTGTGTAGAAGAGATGAGTACAGCTGGTTTCTGGGGCCAAGCCTTGCCTTGGGGGTGGAGGGGGTCAGGAGGGTGGTGGTGATTTCCTGTGCAGCGTGTCCCATGGTCCTGTCCAGGAAGCGTCTCCTCATTATGCAAGTGTGTATGTATACTGTGTGGTTCTTGGGCCAAGATGCTGGCAAAGGGTAGCACTGAGATCAGCAAGTCAGCTGGAAAACATAAAAATCTATGGGTTGCCTGCAGCTGCCTGGAGGCCTGGCTTTTTGGTTCCATATTGGGAAAGTCTCTGTAAGTATCTGCTGAGCCACTGGTGTGTCAGCAGGTGAGAGAGGTGGACTCAGACAAGAGAACTGAGTGGAGTGATCTTTCTATGAATGCAGAGTAAACTGAGGGTACACCAGTTGTAGTAGCAGTATGACTCACAGACTGGAGTACAAAGGCCATGAGCCCAATCCAGCCTGCTGTCGATTTCTGTAAATAAAGTTTTATTGGAACCCAGCCACATTCATTTGTATATTGTCAATGGCAGCTTTCCCACGGCAACAGCAGAGTTGAGTGGTTACAACAGAGTTGTTGCCCACAAAGTCTAAAATACTTGCTACCTGGCCTTTTACAGAAAAAGTGTGCCAGCCCCTGCTCTATGTAGCCTTGAAACAAACCATTGCACTAGTTAATAAGGCCAATTGCCCAGTGAGTCAGCATGGAGTGCGTGCAATATGCAGGGTAATTAAGGTTGACAAAGGTAATAAAGCCCATATAAAAATAAAAACCTTTCTGTGTGAATAAATCCAATGTAAGTTAAAGGCAAATGACCAAACAAACAAAAAAATGGCATCTCCTAACTACAGAGCTAATTCCGCTCATGTGTTAAAAGCTCTTAAAATTCAATAAAAAGACTGCCAATCCCATGGGAAAACAAGAAAAAAATAGAAACAGGTAGTTCACAGAAAAGGAAATACAAATGGCTCTTAAATATATAAAAAGATGCTCAACCTCATCCATAGTGAAAGAAATGCAAAATAAAATAACATGAGATACCACTTTTCAGCCACCAAATTGGAAAAGAGCCAAAAGTTGAGTGACATAACGTGTTGGTCAAACAGGCACTTTGACAGTGCTCGAGCAACCCCCACGTGGCCATATTTGCAATCTCTGCAGATTACAGACGCACGTGACTTCTGGCCCCACAATTCCACTTCTAGGAATTTATCATATAGATATGTCTACATACCTGTGAAACATTATTACAACAGATACTTTAACACAGCAACTCTCCTTCTAAGAATATATTTTCAGATATTCTGGCATATATTGTGAAGTATGTGCAAAGTTATTGATTGTAATGGCCAGTGTCTATAAATAACCTTGCATGTTATCAGTAGGAGACTAAGTAAATTATAGCACAGCCACAAGGCTTCTTACAACAGACTAAGCTCTTTGTGCACCGAAGTGGAAAGATCTCCAAGATACAGTTATTGTTGGGTTGAAAAGAAAAGGAAAGGAACACTGTGTATCATATGCTACCATCAGTGAAAAAAGGAGAAACAACACATATACATAATTGTTTGTCTCTACACAAAATCTCTGAGAGAATACACAAGAAACATAGCACTGGGGCAAGACAGCAGAGAAATGGATGGGAGAGACTCTTCACTGTACGTGTTTTCCTGCTTTAATTTTTAATGGTGCAAATGTTTTATCGATTAAAAATGCTTTTGGAGGGCCGGCCCAGTGGCGCACTGCTACAGTGCACCACTGGGGAGCGCGGTGGCGCTCCCGCCGAGGGTTCAGATCCCACATACGGACCGGTTCCCGCTCACTGGCTGAGCGAGGTGTGGGAGCGATGCCGAGGGTTGCGATCCCATTGCCGGTCCCGGTCCGGTGCGGGCACGACACTGAGGGTTGCGATCCGTTGCCGGACACGAAAAAAGACAAAAAGGAAAATAAATAAATAAATAAATAAATAAAAATGCTTTTGGAGCTGGCCAGTTAGCTCACTTGGTTAGAGCGCAGTGTTGAAAACAACCAAGGTCAAGAGTTCAGATCCCCAGACTGGCCAGCTGCAAAACAAACAAAATGCTTTGAAAGTGTTTGCAATGTTCTATTTCTTAAGCTGGTATGCACATGAGTATTTATTATTCCTTTTACATATTACATCTATGCTGGGGTGAAAGTCAAAATATTTAACAACCAGCACCACTCAGACTGACCAGTCAGAATAGATGCTGGTATTGCCCCGGACCAGACAGGGTGACCACAGACAACAGGGAGGGCCACACCAACGAGGACCAGCCGTGCACACATTACATACTGTTTCAAATACCTGAAATACTTCATAATAAAAGAGGTGGGGGAGGGTGGATTTTAAAACACCCTCCCACAGGAAGCCAGAAACCTTGGTTGAAGCTAGGGCAAGAGAGGGTCGCGTGGTGCCGAGAACGGGTGCGCAGCGCTGCTACTGCGATGCGCCTCCTGACACATGAATGTGAGAAACGCAGGTCCTAGCATCAGAATTTCTGCCTTTCTAGGAGTAAGTTAAGGCAGCTTGGAGTAAAAAAGGAAGCCAAGAAGCTTTGTCAGGCCATCGGGTCAGATTTGGACACCCTCTTGGGAGAAAACCCATGAGTCACTCCCAGCCAACTATGGCTGTAAGAGAACACATACTGAATGGGAACTAAGAATGATACCAAAAGAAGATAGAGCCAGAGCCAGAAGAAGTGAAGTTTTCTTTAACCTATGAATCTGTGTTTGAAATTCCCCCCTCCTTCTAATTAGAAGTTGAAAGATTTGAGAAGGATTTTGACCCTAATGTTTTCTTTGACCAGGCAGTCCTACCTGAGAGTCTGAGCGTCTTGTGAACACACAACTCCCAAGCCGATGAGGTGAGCTCGACACCTATCCAGGTAGATGGTGTGTGAAGCTGGGAGGGCGGATTGTGAGAAATCTCATTATCATTCCCAGCTCTGGGGTGAGGATTCCAGAGTCCAGGAGCAGGACTCCTCCAGGTGTTCTGGAAAATGTCCCCGATCTTTTGGTTGGGTCTTCTAGTGGTGCTGATTTCCTTCTGCTTCTCTCAGATACATCAGTCTTTGATTTCCCCAAAAGTACCTGTGCCTGCCTTCCAGCCATCAGAACCTTCTCCTGGTTGTGCAGTGTCTGCAGCCAGCTTTGATTAGCTGGGACCCCCAGTAGCAGCTGTCTCTCTCACACCTTCTCACCTGCCCCCTGTGGATGGTCTCTTTCTGCCCAGAAACTCTGGCTTTCTGGACTAGAGCCCTGACCTGCTGCCAAGGTGTGGCCAATCTTTTCTTCCAGAGCAACTCCCAGGTGTCCACTGTGGAATATACCAGAAAGCATATGTACTTTACAGGGCCTGGTTTTCCAAAGCCTTGCAGTTTCAAATATCGACCTTGCAAGGACAGGAAATTTCCGTCAGGGTATAAGTCCCTGTTACAAGATAAGAATTGTGGCACAGTAGGTTGCTGGCTCAAAGACAGACTAGTTACCGATTGTTGTGTAAAGATACTGAGAAAGTGCTGTTAAGAAGGAATGTTTGCTAAGATCAAGCTGT